AGCATGATGTTATCTTCTGTGGTAGAGAAAGGATGTTTAAAAGGTTTTCAGGTGAAGAACAATATTATTAATGTGTCTCATCTACAGTATCCTAATGATACATTGATCTTTTGTGGTACTGATGAATTGGAAATAAGGTTCCTTAAGAGATTTTTGCGAATGTTTGAAGTGGTAACAAGGCAGAAAGTAAATTTGCACAAAACTAATATCATTGGTATTGCGCATGATGATAATAAAGTCAAACAGTTAGCTGAATATATGAACTGGGAACTGGGTAGATATCCAGTCAAATATTTGGGCCTACCTCTATATGAAAATAATAGTAGGGTGGCTTTGTGGGATATTGTTATTCAGATGATTCAATATAGGCTCAATTCATGGAAATATAAACTTTTGTCTTTTGGGGGAAGAATAACATTAATTAAGCAAGCTCCAACGAATTTACCAATTTATTTTATGCCTTTGTTTAAGATACCTAGATGTGTGGCTAAGAAAATAGAAGATTTAATGAGGAGCTTTTTATGGGATGAGCGTGAAAGTAAGAAGAAGTATAACCTTGTTAAATGGGACAAAGTGTATACTCCAGAGGATGAAGGGGGTATGGGGCTAAAAAAGATGCTAACTGTGAATATTGCACTCTTGACAAAATAGTGGTGGAGATGTGCAACAGATAGGGATCAATTATGGTAAAGGATTTTGGGTGAGAAATATGGTGAGGATATTGAGCATGGGATGGTTGCAAAAAGTATAAGGAAAAAAGGTATTTCTTCTATTTGGAAAGGTATTTTAACCCATAGATTGTTTTTTCTTAGCAATGTGAAAAACATCATATGAAAAGGAGATAAGGTGAGATTTTAGCAAGGGAAATGGTTTGGTGAAAGTCCTCTTAAGAATAAGTTTCCTCTTCTTTTTGCCAAAGTTAATTTAAAAAGTAAAACAATATATGATATGGTGGAGGGAAATGGCTTCAATTTAAGATGGGATATTTGTTGTTCATATAGAAGAGTAAGTAATGAGGTTGTAAATGAATATACTCAATAGTTGAAGCTCCTAAGTCAGTTCTATTGTCCTGAAATTGAAGATAAAGTGGTTTGGGAACCTAGTAGCAATGGTTTTCAGTTAGCTTGGCTTACGAACTGTTATATAATGATCGTGTTGGATGGATAAAGAGGATGGAACCTATCCCTTTGAAAGTAAAAAACTTTTTATAGCTATTGAAGTTGAAAAAAGTTTTAACTGTTGACATGCTACGAAAGAAAGGTAAAATTATTGTCAATGTTTGTATATAATATAAACAAAATGAAGAAAACGTGGAGCACCTATTCTTAAAATGTAGTTTTGAAAAGGAGGTTTGGGCTTTGGTTCTTATGGGTCTAGATTTGAATGGAGTGGGATCAGTATAGGTAGATGATATATTTGGGGATTGGTTGATGACTGGATTGAGTAAAAAGGGTTATGTTATCTAGAAGGTTGTTAAAGTTGCGGTATGTTGGGAGATTTGGAAGGAGAGAAACCAGTGGTGCTTTGAAGATACACAAAAGATTGCTGGACAGGTGGTTAAAAAATTAGGAATGTTGTGGCTGATTGGCTTGGAGTTAATAAGCTTTGGTGGGGTGTTTCTCGGTTAGACCTCATGTATAATTTGAAGATTCTGATACAAGATTGTGTACAAAAAGTTATAAGATCAGGATTGTGGAAACGTCCAAAAGTTGGATGGATTAAAGTAAATTTCGATGGTAGTTCTATACGCAATCCGGGTCCTGTGGGTATTGGTAGGATTACTAGGGGTAGTAATGGTGAGATTTTCAAAAACTTTTATGGACCAATAGGGACTGCTACTGCAAATGAAGCAGAGTGTAGGGTTACTTTGCAAGGTGTGAAATTAGCTGGAGAGTATCGAATGCCTACTATTATTGAAGGAGACTCAAAAAATGTAGTTAAATGGATGAAGGGTGAAGCAGATTATCCTTGGAGCTTACATAGTTTAAGGCGTGAATTGATTGATTCTTGTAAAGATATGAATGTTACTGTTGAACATGTGTATATGGAGAATAATATGGAGGCTGACAATCTTGCGAAAGAAGGAGTTTCTGAGTTATCTTTAATAGTTGTCCTAGAAGTTCGTTGAATTTGGTTTTCTTTTTTGTTTCATTGTGTAACGGCCAATTTCTTTTAAATATGCTTTGTTTGTATCATTGTTATACTATTTGAATGAATATTGTTAGTGTTCCTCCAAAAAAAAAAAAGACTCATTTTCTACTAGATTTTTTAATGCACCCCTTATTTCTCCTTGCTTCTATTATATAAGGTTCTTTCTTTTTTATTTAATACTCACAAAAAGTGAAGGGCCAAATATATAGCAAGTAGAACTTGTTTCAATTGGTCATGTGATATATTTTATCCTTCTGATCTCTTAAGTTTGAGAAACTTTAAATTTTGTGAGAAATACTTTTGTCCATGCTCTCTAAAAACTCTAAAATTAATCCTTATTATGAGCACACAAATCATGTTTAGATTTAATTATTTCTACAAAATAAAAAGAAAATGAGAACATGAGGTGCATGCTAGATATCATCATATGCTGGGTTTGTATAAGGTGCCTACCTTATACTATATAAGTACGATGTCCCTCTAGATTTTGCTAGAAGATGTAGTTCCGGTGTTAAAAATCTTATGGTAGCTTGAAGATTGATGTCTTAATTATGAAATTTAAATTTTAAAAAATAGTGTCAAGAAATGTGGTTTCAATACTAAAAATATTTATGATAGCCTTAAAATATATTTTCATTTTTAATTATAAAATTTAAAGCTTAAAAAATAATGTAGATCGAGCAAATCAATGAAAAATTAAAAATCTTGAAAATTTACTGTCCAAAAATGCGTTATACGATACACTATCTCCAAAACTAGAAATCCATTTTTTTCTCATGTACATATATCTTAATGTCGAGATGATCAATTCGAGGATATTTGAGCAACAAAACAACCTCTTCTAGTGAAATTTTTGAGGTGGGTACTAATTTGATTGTTTAAAGCCTTGGCTCTATTTAAATTTTCTCCTTTAAAAAATAGTGCAAATCAAGCAAATATATGAATATTTGAAAATATTGAAAATAAACGGACCGGATAACTTGTTACAAAATACACAATTTTTAAGACTTCAAAATTTTTGTTATCTTTTATATTCACACATCTCGAGGTCAAGATAATCAATGGAAGGTTTTCCAACTTCAAAACACTATTTTCTATTAGATTTTTGAGGGAGATCGTATACAATAAGACCATTTATCTTTAATACAAAGGGGTCACAATTACATACAGCCATCCAATGCGAAAGCTCATAGCTTGGGTGTGTCACAAAGTTCGAAAAAATTTTCTTTGAGTTTGAGCTTGGCTAATAGAATAAATACACACATCTAATTTCACTTCTAATGGTTAAGATTAATTGTGACTAACTTATATTAAAGATAAATGGTTTCATTGTATACTTTTCCTTTCTGAGGTGCACCCTAAAAGGTACACAAAGAGACTATTAAAAAGGTACTTACTTGTCGGTCCAAACTCACAATGAAATCCAACTTGGACCATAAAAAAATGTTTCATATCATGTTGATTGGTCACGACCGCTTTTGTGAACAGTAACAATGCAAAAGGCCTATGTGTACTGGCTTTATGCATGGTGCAACAAATTGGACATGGATGTCGGCACAGCACGAAACAATGTAAAAGGAAAAGGAAAATGGTTTGATAGGGCTGCAGCCCTTTCAAAATAAGTAAAGCCTCACCTTACAACTCATAAAAAATGTCAATTCAAGTATTAAAAACCGTTACATCGATCACTAATGCTTGAACATTATGGTTGTGAAAAAAAAAAAAAAAAGGATTTCAAGTTCTGAAAATATTGTAGATTGTAACAAATTATCTAGACCATCTATTTCACCTTAAAACTTAGTGTTCATCGATATACAAGATCTGTACATTTTTTTTTTTTAGTTTCAAATTTTATTGTTATTATTATAAATTGATTTTAGAGCAATCATAAAGATTTATGTTGCTGAAAGTGCTTTCCAGACGCGGATTTGAGGTGAGGCTTTATTTTGTTTTCATAAAACCGAGGTTTTGTAGAAACTTCATCCAAAGGGAAATTATTTCACGAGTCGCAAGAGCCTGCTGACTTACAAGCGTCCATCCGACATTATCTACGTTATATTATCCATAAATAAGATATGGACGGTGCATAAAAAAAAAACTAAAATGTTATATTTTTAATTTTAAAAGACTATTTTTCTTTTCATATTTATGATTATCTTGGCTTAGATGATGAATCAACAAAAAAAAAAAAACTAGAAAAAAAATCATCCAAAATGAATTTTAGTGGGGGGGCGCATATGTACATATGAGTCCACCGACTCATAGAAACCCATCTAATGTCAAATGCCATGTACTAAAATTTTCAAAATCTTTTCGATAATTGAGTAAAATAATCGTATATCTTCTAAAAGTCCCGTTATTTAAAAGGATTTTTTTTTAATGTTATTACTCTAATTTATTCACAATTATTTAAAAATACAATATTGCCCCTACTTCAGATTTTGAGAATACAAAGCTTAACATTTATATGCACCCAACCGGAGGCCTGCATGAGTAGCTCCCATTTCCTATTGAAGATGAGTACCGGACTGGCTCTCAGTCACATTTAAATATTCTTTGAATTTTTTTCCCATTATCATTCCCTATTTAAAAATTCTTTGAATTTTTTTCCAAAGAAAAAGAGGTGGACCAAAGATGTGGATTTAGAAGTTATTTATTTTTACATTTGGGTGGGGGAGTTGGATGCGAAAGAAACACAATGTGGGGTGGGGTGGGTTGCATAGAAAGTTGGGTCAAGGGAATATCTATTATTTTTCCTTGTAGCAAAATAACCACCCTTAATTGAACTGTGAAAATCGATGTGATCAAATTGTTATTATAAACATACAGTTCATGGCAGTACAACTGGTTCATGGCAGTACAACTGGTTCATCAGGGTCAGGATAAGCTTCAATGATGGATTGGAGAGTGGGAAGAGGAAAGATTTTGCATCTGCTAAAACCACCTTCTTTGAGCAGCACCCTCCACTCCTCCTCTGTTCTCTCCATGCCGCCAGAGGTGAGCGTGAACATCACCATATCAAATGCCATTCTCGAGGCCGCGAAGGCACTGGTATCCTCCTCAGGGCGCAAGACCACATCGACGATAATCGCTTTCCCTCTCCCTTTAGGGAGTGCTTTCCGGCATTGTTTCAAGATTTTCACACAATCTGTGTCGCTCCAATCGTGTAGTATCGACTGCATCGAAACAACAAGAGGGGAAACCAATCAAGAAGGAGAAAGCATGTTGCAGAATGAATACCATTAAAATGGAGTATGCTTTGGGCAAGAGAGAATCACAGTATGTTACCTGGGGCTACATGGTACACCATAGGTATATCGGCCATTCATTCACAATGATGGATATGCAGATGGTGCACAACATACCATTACACTAGAGGTGTATGATATATAGCACATAATATATTATAAGAAACTTCTTAAATACCCTTTTTTGTGATATTCAAAATATGTCCCTAATTTTACCCTTGTCTCCTTTTTTCCCTATATTTTTGTTTTTCTAAAATGCCCCCTAGTTGGTACATGCCACAAGGCTCAAGACAAGTACCGCCGACCCGACCTGAACCGCATGTTCCAACCCAAATGACCAAGTTTTTATGTTTTTTACATACGAGGCCCGATTCGTTTATTTTCCTTCTTTGTTTTAATCTCGCTCTCTCTTATCCACCCTATGGCAAATCTAAAGTGTTGGTCGGCACTCCTGGTTGAGCACTTGGAGTGTTAACTTAGTGGTCTCGATTGCGGGTCGACACTCTAAGAGCCAATTTGGTGTGAAGCTCAAGTTGGGTCGTCACTTGGAGTATGAAACTAGTAGCATTTAGAAAGAAAAAAAAAAAGGCGAAAAAAGAGAGAGTAAAATGCAATATTAGAGGACATATCTTAAATACAACATGAAAATAATAATAATAATAAAATAAAATTCCATGGAATTTCCGTATATTACAGGTTGCATGGGATAAGGAAGCATAGTGTAATTACAAGTTCAAATATTTTTTTCTTGTTTTGGAAAAGCTAGGAAGGGCATTCGAGGCAAGGACTCTGAGAAATCCAAGACTTGTTACAGGGAGAGTTGATTTTGAGTTTGGAAAAAGTTTATCTAGTGTTGCAACTTTATATTGTTAAAGTAAGGTGCTGCTTAAAAACCCTTTAGATGAGAGTTTTATATAGTGGACTAACCTTTCAATTGATCATCTTGACCTCGAGATGTGTAGTTATGAAAATAAAAAATAAAAATAAAAATAAAAATAAATAAATAAAATAAAATGTTTAAGTCCTAAAAAGCATACATCTTGTAACAAGTTATCTAGAACGTCTATTTCAGGATTTTGTAGTTCTTATAGATCTGCTTGATCGGTATTATTTTTAAAGTTTTAAATTTCATAACTAGGGATAAAAATTAGATGTTTTAGTCATCATAAGATTTCTAACACAGGAACTACGT